ACATATTCTCCATTTGTTTATTCATTCATTCATTCATTCATTCTTTTAGTAAATAAGCAAATAATTATGGTAGAGGTTAGTAATACACTCTTGGGAAATGTGAGCTGAGTCAATTATCGTATTCTTCACTAGGCATGTTCCTTCTGTCTAGTATTTTTCCTATCAAAGCTACTTTTCTAGAAATAAAGTTCACTAATTGATTGTCTCATATTTATCATTTTTTTAAAAAGATGGGCTGATATTGGCTGTCCTCCAGTCTTATCATTGCTGCCTTAACAATAAATTACATCTCTTATTAGAGTTTCTGGCCTTTACCAAGGCATTAATTTTAGATATGAATGGATGATATTAAAATAACTTAAGATTTATTTTTGATACCTAAAATATTAATACCCTTGATTAATGAAAATTATGTTTTTATAAGGTTATTATCTTTCCTAGCACATTATTATCTTTATTATTATTATCTTTTCCTGACCACAGCTACCTCCCCTGCCCTCAGGGTCATCGTATTAACCTTCCTGTACCAGGAGAACAGAATGCATTTCCAGCTCTCTCCTAGGGATAGTGTTGCTTCTGCTTTTATGTTAAGGACACATTAAAAATTCATTCTGCAGCCTTATGTATTTCTTGGATGCTCTTCTTCTATCTTTTTATGGCTTTTTTTTTTTTTTTTTTGGTCTAGGTTTACCCATTGTCTATGCTAATGTTTTCTATTATTAAAGATCCACAGTTGCTTATCTGCAATTTTTAATTCTAAAAGCAAAGTTATTAAAATGGCGAACCCCAAGCAGACACAAATTTATTTAGCAGCAAAACCTGAATGTACTGACTTTGGGGCTATTTGAATTTTTTAGTTACTCTGCTTAATGTGAATATTCATATGTTTTATTGCAAAAATAGTAACGTGATTACCACCTAGTCACTAATATCTGGTGTATACACAGTATGACCTTTCTTGTATATGAAATGAATCTGAATCTAAAGCAAATCTGGTACCACGGCTTTCGATAAGAGATTGTGCAGCTATCGTATCAATCACTGACGTTTGATTATCTGAATAGATTAATATATTAGTCCACATTCGTACTAATTACATGCTTCACATTGACTGCTTCAAGGACTGGACTGAGTTTGTGTTGAGAAATACCCAAGAAAACTAGAAATAACTGCCAGATTTATGGAATCTTCAGAGTAGTAAAAGCCCTGTTCAAAAGAGAGAATCCCTGTTACTTAAAACAGGAATACACGAATCTTTTCTGAGTAGCAGAACAAGCTTCATTATGTATTATACTTTCAGTTAACAAAATGTATTTCAGGACACAGACTCACTTGAAGTGAATAATCTCATCTGCTACATCATTTTAAAAGATGCCATTACTCAAACAAGGTCAAAAGAATAAACAACAGAAGAAAAGAGGGAAGATAAAAGATAATTTTCTGGGAGAACCACACACTATTTTTTTTTGTAGTAGTAGTAATATGAATTGCCTTAAAAAACCACCTGACCTAATAAGAACAAATGTTCTTACCGCAGTGGAAGAGGGGAGCACTCTGTAAGCAGACATGGCCAGCCCAGCCGAGAGAGCCCCCTTTGCTGACTACCTCCACGAACATGGGCGCCTACAGTGCCACCCAAGTGCCAGAGCAGGAGTGAGTCCCGGCAGTGCGTACCAGCTC